GCTTTTAAGACGTAACAGTTGGCACAAAATGTTTTGTGTTGTTTTTGGCTGACGATGCGCTTATAATAAAAGATGAAAGGATCGCCACAGAAGGCACGGTTGTTATGCGAACACCGCTAATTAACATACGTATCATTAGTCCACTTAATCGTCTATCCATCTTCCATTAAACCATGCCAACCGCGATAACCGCATCGAAATGAGTTTCTGCTATCTTTAATGGCGCTCGACAATCGGACGCACCACCAGCTCGGCCAGATCTCGCCACAATTGATTTTGAATGTACTTGTCTTGGGTTCTCGTCTACTTGCATAAATAGATTATGTGACGTTAGCACGCATACAACTAAAGCAATCTGCGATCTTCCCATGACCCTGATGGTCAGCCAGTGTACGGACTTCGTCGACATGAACATGGAGAAGGTGTGACCATTCGCCGATTCTCCATATTTCACACACAAGGTAAAATTGCAGTTTTCTGTCTGGAGCTTTAATTACCATAATCGTTTCACTTCGGGTTGGACAATGAGCAATTTACTTTTTTCTCAACTACGCCCATCTTATTGGGACCAGACTTAAGGTCAGTGAATAAATAAGCACGGACTATTTTTTTGAAAAAGCCCACATGAGGAAAACTCTTCCAACCACACCATAATCTAACAACTTTGTAGTATAAAATTAACTAACTGGAAAATCGTAGTTGTTCAGCTGGAACGTTACGAAGTTTCTTTGAGTATTTTTAAATACACATTCTCATATTACAATGATTGTTAATACACGAAAAAAGCTGAAAGCAGATCGATCGTAAGATAAAGTTTTTGAAACATTCACATATTCAATAAAAGTTTATTATTTTATCAACACTGTCCATCATAAAGAACGTTCATAAATGTCTCTTACATCCAGTGATCTGTGTAATTAAAATATGTTGCAAATTTACCGCTTCTTACTAATCGTAGATATTTTTAAAGTTTTAAATTATTTGACAAACATGTCATCTGTTAGTGTAATTAGGTATGACATTTAATCTGTCATTGCCATGGAGATTGTTAAAAGTTACTAAATTATATTTACACATTCTCCATAACATTCTCAAACAGTTGAAACAAATCAGTACCCATCTGGATGTTCCAAATGGTGAACTAAATTCCATTCAGTATAAGCCGACTTTAAATACCTTACATATGATGGTCAATAAACACTAATCACGGGACTCCGAGATTCTTTCAAACTACTTCAAAAGCAAGGCAAAGGATCATCACGATTCTTTCCAACTGGATACTTCAAAAACAAAACAAAAGACGTCCCCAAAATTCCTCCAAAATATTTCAAAACCAAAACACAAGGGGTCCGCGAGATTCTTTTAAACTACTTCAAAAGTAAAACTCAAGGCGTTATAAAATTACTTCAAAGAGGTCTCAGAGATTCTTTCAAATTTCTTCAAAAACAAAAGAAGAGGAATCCTCGAGATTCCTTCAAACTACTTCAAAAACTACACACAAGGAATCCCCGAGATTCTTTCAAATTACTTCAAAAACCAGGCACAAGGAGACCCCGATAATCTTTCAAACTACTCCAAAAACAAAACAAAATACATACCCGAGATTCTTTCAAACGACATACTTCCAAAACAAGGTACAACAAGTCCCCGAGATTCTACCAAATTACTTCAAAAGCAAAACAAAAGGGATCTCCAAGATTCTTTTAAACTACTTCAAAATCAAAAAATAAGGGATCCCCGAGATTCTTTCAAATTACTTCAAAAACAAAACAAAAGCGGTCCCCGAGATTCTTTCAAACTAGTCCAAAAACCAAGGGTTCCCCGAGAATCTTTTAAACTCTATACTTCAAAATCAAAACACAAGGGAACCCTAAGATTCTTTTAAACTATGTACTTCAAAAGCAAAATTCAAAGGGGTCACCGACATTCTTTTAAACTACTTCAAAATCAAAACACAAGGGATCCCCGAGATTCTTTCGAACTTCTCTAAAACCAAACACAAAGGCTCTCCGAGATTCTTTTAAACTACATCAAAAACAAAACAAAAGAGATCCCCGAGATTATTTGAAATTACTTCAAAAACAAAAGGGGTCTCTGAGATTCTTTTAAACTACTTCAAGAACATAACAAAATGGATCCCGAGATTCTTTCGAATTACTTCAAAAACCAAACACAAAGGGTCCGAAAGATTCTTTTAAACTACTTCGAAGTCAAAACACAAGGAGTTCCTGAGATTCTTTTAAACTACTTCAAAATTAAAACACACGGGATCCCTGAGATTCTTTTAAACTACGTCAAAATCAAAACACAAGGACCCCTGAAATTCTTTCAAACCACCCCAAAATCAAAACACAAGTGGTCCCTGAGATTCGTTCAAACTACTTCAAAAACAAAACAAAATGGATCCGCTAGATTCTTTCAAACTACTTCAAAAACCAGACACAAGAGGTCCCCTACATTCTTTTAAACTATTCAAAACCAAATACAAGAGTTCACCGAGATTCTTTTAAACTACTTCAAAATCAAAACACAAGGGGTGCCTGAGATTCGTTTAAACCACTTCAAAATCAAAACATAAGAAATTCCTGAGATTCTTTCAAACTACTCCAAAATCAAAAACAACGGTTCCTCGAGATTCTTTTAAACTACTTAAAAATTAAAACACATGGGGTTCCTGAGATTCTTTTAAACTACTTAAAAATCAAAACACAAGGGATCCCTGAGACTCTTTTAAACTACTTCAAAATCAAAACATAAGGGGTGGGTCCCTGAGATTCCTTTAAACTTCTCTAAAACCAAACAAAAAGGTTTCCCGAGATTCTTTTCAACTACTTCAAAATCAAAACATAAGGGATCACTGAGATTCTTTCAAATTACTTCAAAAACAAAAGGGCTCTTGGAGATTCTTTCAAACTACTTCAAAAACAAAACAAAATGGATCCGCTAGATTCTTTCAAACTACTTCGAAAACCAGACACAAGAGGTCCCCTACATTCTTTTAAACTATTCAAAACCAAATACAAGAGTTCACCGAGATTCTTTTAAACTACTTCTAAATCAAAACACAAGGGGTGCCTGAGATTCGTTTAAACCACTTCAAAATCAAAACATAAGGAATCAATGAGATTATTTCAAACTACTCCAAAATCAAACACAAGGGTTCCCCGAGATTCTTTTAAACTACTTCAAAATTAAAACACATGGGGTCCCTGAGATTCTTTTAAACTACTTAAAAATCAAAACACAAGGGATCCCTGAGACTCTTTTAAACTACTTCGAAATCAAAACATAAGGGGTGGGTCCCTGAGATTCCTTTAAACTTCTCTAAAACCAAACACAAAGGTTCCCCGAGATTCTTTTAAACTACTTCAAAATCAAAACATAAGGGGTCCCTTCGATTCTTTTAAACTACTTCAAAATCAAATCACAAGGGGTCCCCGACATTCTTTCAAACTGCTTCAAAATCAAAACACAACGAGTCCCTGAGATTCTTTTAAACTACTTCAAAATTAAAACACACGAGGTCCCTGAGATTCTTTTAAACTACGTCAAAATCAAAACACGAGGACCCCTGAGATTCTTTCAAACCACCCCAAAATCAAAACACAAGGGATCCCTGAGATTCTTTCAAACTTCTCTAAAACCAAACATAAAGGTTCCCCGAGATTCTTTTAAACTACTTCAAAATCAAAACATAAGGGGTCCCTTAGATTCTTTTAAACTACTTCAAAATCAAATCACAAGGGGTCCCCAACATTCTTTCAAACTGCTTCAAAATCAAATCACAAATAGTCCCTGAGATTCTTTTAAACTACTTCAAAATTAAAAGACACGGGGTCCCTGAGATTCTTTTAAACTACGTCAAAATCAAAACACGAGCACCCCTGAGATTGTTTCAAACCACCCCAAAATCAAAACACAAGGGATCCCTGAGATTCTTTCAAACTATCCAAAACCAAACACAAGGGTCCCCGAGATTCTTTTAAACTACTTCAAAATCAAAACACAAGGGGTCCCTGAGATTATTTCGAACTACTTCAAAATCAGACACAAGGGATCCCAGAGATTCTTTCAAACTACTCCAAAACCAAATACAGGGGTACTCCGAGATTCTTTTAAACTACTTCAAAATCAAAACACAAGGGGTCACTGAGATTCTTCTAAACTACTTCAAAATGAAAATAGAAGGGGTGCCTGAGATTCGTTTAAACTACTTCAAAATCAAAACATAAGGGATCCCTGAGATTTTTTCAAACTACTTCAAAACCAAACACAAGGGTTTCCCAAGATTCTTTTAAACTACTTAAAAATCAAAACACAAGGGATCCCTGAGACTCTTTCAAACTACTTCAAAATCAAACATAAGGGGTGGGTCCCTGAGATTCTTTTAAACTACTTCAAAACCAAACACAAGGGTTCTCCGAGATTCTTTTAAACTACTTCAAAATCAAAGCACAAGGGGTGCGTGAGATTCTTTTAAATTACTTTATAAACAAAAGGGGTCTCGGAGACTTTTCAAACTACTTCAAAAACAAAACACAAAGGGTCCCCGAGATTCTTTCAAACTAATTCAAAAACAAAACACAAATTTTTCCGGAACTGGTCCAGCAGGTCCTATCCGCCCCCGAACAGTATGAACTGTTGAAGTGTTCTTATCAACAAATAGATTTTTACAATGGTGTGACAATTTTAACACTTTTTCAAAACTTCAAACGCGAATAGACGGTCTGGAGTGAACTGCACAAAACACCAAAGTACTTATTGTGTTTTCGAGTTTTATGAGTTAGTACGACCGTACAATAAAAAAAAGTGCTTATGCCTGGAGAATCGTGACAGAATGTGAACTCAGGAACGTTCGGAAGAAACAAACCCGGGAGTCGATAACAAGAGCGAGTTTACCTATAAATACCACGCACGTAAATAAACACGACCATTATGACATGGAAACGAGATAAATAGGCATTCAAAAAATTTGGTAATACCAAGCTGAACATACACACCTTACGCAAGGGGAAAGTTCTATCTTCTCAGGTGCTCATCGTCTGCGATTCTGGAAAGAAAAATTGCGTTAGCTAATATGCAGTACAATTTTTATAAATATACGAGACACCCATTTTTCCGAACCCTACTAGTCACGAAACACCAAAAAAACATGAAAATAGCCGGTCGTTTACACCCGAGAAGTAAAATACTACACTTCATCCACTCTATTCTATTTGAAAAAAAATTAACCATTTCAGACTTCAATACATATACTACGGAAAAAATAAAATGGCACACCCGGTACATTAAAAAGATGTCTAAAAAAATTGCAGATTTCCACCCATTGTAACCTTTACTTTCATTGCGAGGATTTTGTAGCTAACTTCTACAAAAATGAGGTCTCGATTTTTTCAGAGCGTCCCTCGTATTTCCCGCAAACAAATATTTAGTACAATCGGATGACTTGTTTTTGACTAATCGTTAAAAAAAAGTGGATCATATCCACCCACACGAAGCCAGCTACCTCGTTAAAAACCACATACGCGTAGGAGACTCAAAACGTAAAGATCGGTAAAACTCCAAACATCGAAAATTTGACCGCATTCTTGAAACAACAAAACAAAATAGTAGCAGTGATAACATAAATATTAAAGAAGGCAACCACCGTACAGTCCGCTTCACCGGTGGTTGGTAGTAGTTGTTCGGGAGTGTATTCTGCATTCTTCAGGGCCGGTACTAAGATCTTGGTGCTATAAACCAAAGCTGACTGCTATCTCGATATAGTGGCGCCGATGGAATTCTCACTTTTATATTGCGCCCGTCTTCAAACACTCCGTAGGTAAAAAACTGTTAAATTGACGTGAAGAGCACTCTCATTTTCCGAGTCATGGGAGTGGACAAAACCTAAAAGGGTCACAAAACAGCCCGACAAGCGTTTTAATCCGAAGAAGGCGTGGGAAATTTGAATAATGTGCTGCGTTGATTTTTTTTATAATCAAATAATTAGTAAAAGGTAACAACCTGAAACGGGTCTCGGAAGAACGCTTTTCCCTAACGAGTAAATAATGATAATGACTGCGAGTCGAGTGTAAAAAAATGAAAACAACACTTATCATTTGGTCCAGATGAAGACTTATTTTTAAATTGGGCCGTATGTTCGAAACGTGCAGGTAATAAATTTCGAATACGGTGCCAGAAAAAATGTAACAGGAAACATCTTCCACGCCGCAATAAATGATTTTATAACTAGATACAGAAGAACAAAATGAATTCGTGTATGGTACTGGCTTTGATTTCTACCGCGCTTGTGATAAAACGGATCGGTAACTGTATTTCGAACTACTGCTTTTATTCGTATAATTAGACTCACTAATCATTTCAATCGGGTAGACCCGTAGAAAATTGGTTTGACGCTTGTCAAAGAGATCGAGCTCGAATTTAGATCCATTTAAGATGACGGATTATCGAGTTTTGAGAATTCCAACTATTCAACATTAATTAAATTCGGTGGCTGGGCTCACCATGAACGGCGGTTATTATTCAATATAAATTTTCCGCTTCGTAGACGGGAGATATTTCTGAGTTTTTACAAAGTAATACGAAGAAAAAAAGTCAAAATTTCTTTAGAGCAATATGTAATCTGTGGTTTTCCCTTCCACCTGAATTACAGTCCAACTACCTATTTGTGTTGTTCGTAGACTGGTATAAATGTTATATAGTTTGATTTTTTTGGCAAATTTGGATGCCTAGGATAAAAATTCAAGGTGGATTCATAAACCGTGAGTACAAAAGTTTGGAATTTTATAAAATTGCAATGGTATTTATCGAGCACAATATTGAGATGACGTCATCAAATTGTTGGTGGGGATGATTACACAAATTTTGGTTGGAAATTATCTGTCTAATCAAAATCTATAGACAGATAGACGACAGACAGTCCGCAGCAGACAGAAACGCAAGACCTACTTTTTTGTACTCTAGGGAACAAGAAACGTCGAGAAAACATGAAAATAGCTATTCGTTGTGTGAATTCTATCAATAATATTTCCTTCCCTTATGATCGAGAAGTAAAAAGCAGACACATGATATCCCATACACAAGGTTTTCAAAACATTTGCTTCCCAATATACTAAAAAAATAGTTGCAGTTTTTAATTTATTTATACACAGTGATTAAAAATATAAATCGTCTATTTTTTCGTATTATAATGAGATACCTGTAATTGTGTAATTTATAACATTTTCACATTTGCTAGTGAAGCTTCTTTTAACACCAAATTTGTTACGTTTTAGAGCAACAGTATTTTGATATAATGGTTAAGACAAACTCCAACAAACACGGTGTCAAAGACAAGTCCAAAAATGTTACAAACTACAGGCTGCCCCATTTGAAAAACCTAACAATAGTTATAAAGCGTAAATTTAATCACCCTGTATAAATAAGTTTAAACCTTATCCGATTTTTTTAATTCTCGAACGTAAATAAGGTCCATCCGAAGAATGGCTAATTTCATGTTTTCTCGAAGTTTTATGACTCCTAGAGTATGAAAATCTAGGTCCCATTTCCGTGTGTCTGATACTGTAATGATAACTAACCGATAACCAAAATTTCACGACATTAGATCAATATTTTGCAAATCCTACTTAAATTTTGTAAACCAACATATGTACTTCTATATGTGTGGTTTATGATTGGACTTTTATTTTTTAAGAAAAATAAAAAATTATGTAAGAACATTTTACAACTTAGAAACTGCAAAACTCAATGCTCTGAAATCTTACAAACGTTCTAGAACATAGCGAATCAATAATCCAAATGTACCTGTTTATTCCCTCCACACGCTTGATGACGTCATTTCAAAATTCTGCTCTATAATTTATCCACAATTATCTTTATTTAGGTTTATAAGGATTATCGTAAAAAAATAAAATTCCTAAAGCCAAAGAAGCGGAATTTAATTGTAAAATCCGTATTTTTCTACAAGAATTGCTTGGTTCTTCAGTGACGGTGTTGCTTAGAGAAAACTATATGTATTAACTAAAAAAAAAACAATAAAAAAAAGATAAGCTCCACCTCGATCTCAGTTCTTAATCCTGATGAATTTTCCATTGGTTGCCAGACTGAGGGGCGGAGCGTAATTACAAAATCCATATTTCCTGTTTTAAACACGTTTTAAGTTTTCTGTTCCGAAAAGAAGATTACGAACAAGAAAAAAAGACAAAATATTTTGGCTTAAATGTAGACTTCTTTTCGCGTATTTCTAATTTAAGTATTATTAATAAATCTTAGTGAAAATGTGTTGTGTTAGTACTGTGAACACGAACGAAAGTGGATATTTTTCTGAAAAGAACCGAAAACGGGGAAAATCGACTTCAGTTTTAATTTGTCAAGTTCCGTGATTCGTTTACTCGACATTGTTTAAATTTTGGAAAAAATTTCGAAACGGTTGAAGTTGATCGGCCAAAGCTATACATTTTCACGATATAATTAAATAAAATTTAGACATAATTAATATTATTTATAATGTTCATATATGATAAGTAACTATTAATATATGATAATCAAACCGAAACCCGTTTTACTAAAAACACGATGGTATTAAAAACAAAGCAATTTGTTTAAATATTGTTAAGTTAATCCTGACAATTTCTAGTTTCCCGGCCAAAATATGAAAAATAATTTTTGCTATCTCATCGTGACGTCCGATGACGTTACTGTCACGTGAGCTACCTGTTCAAAGGTCACGTTTTTAGGTCCTTTGTGTTCAGTTTTAATTTCTGTTTGATGGCGACAAGATCGTCGCGTCCTTTTGGCGTAAAAGTAGAGCAATTTCGCGAATTTCTAATTTATTATTAATAAATATTAGGGAAAATGTGTTGTGTTATTGTTGTGAACACGGAAGAAAATGGATATTTTCCCGAAAAGGACCGAAAACAGGGTAAGTACGACTTCAGTTTTAATTTATCAGGTTCCGTGATTCGTTTCCTCGACAAAGTTTAAATTTTGGGGAAATTTTCAAAACGATTGAAGTTGGTCAAACAAAGCTATAAATTTTCACGATATAATTAAATCATATTTAAACATAATTAATATTATTTATAATGTTTAAATACGATACGTATTAATATATGATAATTAAATCGAACACCATTTTCTTAAAAACACAAAGTTACTAAAAACAAAGCAATTTGTTTAAATATTATTAAATTAACCACGAAAATGTGCAATTTCCCAGCCGCAATATGAAAAATAATTTTTGCAATCTCATCGTGACGTACGATGACGTCACTGTCACGTGAGCTACCTGTTCAGAGGTCGCATTTTTCGGCTCCTTGTGTTCAGTTTAGATTTCGGTCTGATGGCAGCAACATTGGAGCTCCGGTTTGGCTTAAAAGTAGGGCTTTTTTCGCTGATTTCTAATTTATGATTAATAAATATTAGTGAAAATGTGTTGTGTTGGTACTGTGAACACGAACGAAAAAGTACCGAAAACGGGGTAAGTACGATTTCAATTTTAATTTATCGGGTTCCGTGATTCATTTACTGGATAATATTTAAATTTTGGGGAAATTTTCGAAACGATTGAAGTTGGTTTGTCAACGCTTTAAATTTTCACAATATAATTAAATAATTTTTAAACATAGTTAATATAATTTACAATGTTTAAATATGATAAGCTTATAATTCACAAAGTACGGCGTCGGAATATACAAAGTGCGACGTTCGTTTATAAAGTTTGACGTTCATACATATCTTGAAAACTATTAATCAAGTGGTTGCACAATATAACGTGGAGGAGAAAAGTATCACGAACTCAGCGGGATTCGAACCTACATATCCCACTTTCCAGGCGAAATCATGATAGTCTTTTCTCAGTTTCCACGTTATATTATGGCGCCACAATCAAAAAGTCCTTATTCTCGAGATCGTTATTTTTTTTTCTTTCTTCATCTATAAATAAAATAAAAAGTTTCTCTTAAAAAATACAATTACAAAATAATTATAAATGTAACAAATAAGTATATTGGACTGCCCCAAAATATTTCTCAAGAAGTGACAATAAATACG